AGTATGTTTAAGAAATCTTAAATAAAAGATATATTTAATTTGTTTAATTGCATATCATTACTAAACATCAGAGAAGCGTAAACATGCGAATGTGCTGCTAAATTATTGAAATATTAACTTGATCTCAGGGGGACTTCAAGTGATTATCTTAAGTCAAATTTTAAGGGTTTGGCTGACACATATGCTAGGGAATGCCTAATTTTTATATTTATGTTATTTAGTGACTTACAAAGAGTGTGATGGGGTAGCCGATGAACTGCGAGTGCTTCTTGACGATCTCTTTGATTCGTCGCTCTTCGATGTACTCCATCTGATCCTCCTTCAGATGCAAAACCACTTTTGTGCCACGACCGATCGGCTCGGCTGGACAAAGAGCAACATCTGCGTTAAACCTCAGTTACAGCTCGCATTCAGTATTTCAACCACAGTCTGACAATTCATTCACTAAATCAAACTAGGGCTGTCAAAAAAAATTCGAATTTCGAATATTCGTCGGATTTAAAATAAAAATCCACATTCGAATGCAAAAACGTTGCATTCGAATTTTAGGTGTGCGTCAGGCAGCATTATCAGTGGTGCACAAGATGCGATGACAATGTAAGTGTCATTGCATTTTAATGCTTTTATAGCATATCCAGTTGAACCCACTAGATGGCGCTGCTATGTTTGTTCATTCAAAATATTGCGGGAAAAAAAGAGAACATCAGTGCGGAGAAGATCTTGTTTACGTCAAAACTGAAACAAAGCCGTTCACACAGAACGCATATTTATCGCATTTTCTAGAGGGACATCTATCAGCGTTGCACTCGCGTCTCGCACAAGAGAGCCGCATGTTTAGAAAGCCATGTAAAATTAATGCAAGTTCAACTTTTAAAAAAATGTCTCGAGACTTTATGGCCCATTTTTCCCCATCCCACTGCATCTTATCTTTTTAAATGAAAAAGTACTCTTTGTGATTGGTTTTCAGTCCTTTGGAAAATAATCCAATTGCGAATACCAATATTGCGATTTAATATGCAATTTATTTTTTAAAGCTCTTTTTGTTCTGTATTATTCAACAAAGACAAGCTATAAATCATTGTATAGTATGACCAACACAATATTAGATAGATTAAACATAAATGTTATTTTCTGTAGGCCAGGCCTATATGTTACGATGAAATTAGGTGATGCATGAAATGATATGAATGAAATTTTTATTTAACAACTACAATCACAGTATATTGACTGATTTGTTGAACTTCCAACCTTGTAAGCATGTAATAATTATGACAATATAAAGCACCTCTTTACTCTCGCGTGTCACGTGACCGAGTGTAATCGCAGCCTCTGCGGTTGTAAAAAACGTGTTTTTTCATATTGCGATATTATCGCAAATGCAATTAATCGTTCAGCCCTACTTTGTATTAAACTATACATACATACATGATGCTATTTTGTTTCTAATTGTTTAAGTAACTTAATTATATATGGTTTATTTTAAACATTATGCACTTTTTTCAAAGATAGTCGTGTTATTTTATTATGCTTTGAAGAAACGTGCATTAGTAATATTTTGCTCGATGCGCCCTCTTGTGGCCTCAGGAGAGAAGCCAAAAGCTTTTTTCCCCCCTAACTGAAATTATGCCTCAATATAATTCGAATATTGATCATATTTAAGTACAAAATTCGAATAAGCCATTTTGACAGCCCTAAATGAAACGACACTCACAGTTGTCCACTTTAACGGTGAACGATCCTCCTGCAGACGACTCCCACGCATACTGCTCGTCATCGTAGTGTTTGGTGATGACCGTGACTTTCTCGGCCACCAAGAAGGCAGAATAGAAACCCACTCCAAACTGACCGATCATAGAAATGTCTGCTCCGGCCTGCAGGGCCTCCATGAAGGCCTTGGTGCCGGATTTGGCGATGGTGCCCAGGTTGTTGATGAGGTCTGCTTTGGTCATGCCAATGCCGGTGTCGGTGAGGGTCAGCGTGCTCTCTTGTTTGTTGGGAATGATTTCGATTTTGAGGTCTTTTCCTGAGTCCAGCTTGCTTGGGTCTGTGAGACTCTCATAGCGGATTTTATCCAAAGCCTGATGGAAAGTAAGAATATTTCATTTAGTTTTATGGGTTCAGTTGATAATTTGTGTCCCTGGAGCACAAAAGCGGTCTCAAGTCGCTGGGGTATATTTGTAGCAATAGCCAACAATACATTGTTTGGGTCAAAATTATCCATTTTTCTTTTATGCCAAAAATCATTAGGATATTAAGATGGAAAAAATTGCAATGCATTTTTACTGGAAATTAATGTTCAAGACATAATTATGAGGTTTGTCTTTTATGCACAAAACATATTTTTATGTACCAAACTATGTCCATCAAAATACTCCTTGTGTGTGTGCCAAGACCGAACTGTCTCTCTTAGAGTTAATTTCCCAATTATAAGAACCAAAGTCTGGGCACATCAGATGGCAAAGATTGCAAATTATTTATTCAGCTGTCGGATTATGCATAAATCTCAATTTCAGAAAATTGACCCTTATGACTGGTTTTGTGCTCCAGGGTCACATTTAAGAAGCTTTAATAAGACATAAAATGTAATGTGTATCTTATTATTGTATTACTGACTGTTTACATGATTTACTTAATGAAAAACTACTTGAAGTCAACATGCTAATTTTTAAAAGACATCTTTTAATTCTAATTAATATTTTGAAAAGCACTGTATTATTTTTTGTACTGTGCGTCTTTTTTTTTTTTTACTGTTTGCATGTCATTACTGAAGTAATGTTTACTTAATAAAAAAAGGCTACATGCCATTTTTTAAACTTTGATTGAATTGTAACTATTAATTTGTTTCAGTAGTTTACAAAGCTGTTATATTGCTTTTTTTCTCTTCATTTTATTTTTGCTTAAGCAAACAGTAATCGTAATAATCACTTTATAAAATGACACATAGCCTTGAATTATTTTTATGTAGACATTTTTTCTGAAGTAATATTTAATTGAAAAATACTTGAAACCTACATGCCATTTTTTTTTTAATATTATATGATTTATAAATATTAATTAATTAAAAACACCTCCTGTTAAATTGCTCGTGGTGTAATGCAATCAGTAATAAAAATAACAATAAATTTAATAAAATGGCATCAAGCCTAAGTATTTTTTCAGTATGTAAAATAGCTTAAATGTAAACACATTTACTCAAGCAATGTTTACTTAATAAAAAATACCTGAAGGATAAACGCACTTGTTAAAAAAATTATTTTAGTTTGCATTAATTCAAAAAGCACTTTGTTGTATTGCTTGTAACATGCATATTTTTTTTTTGTCAATTTATTACTGTCTACACAGCCAGAGCCAGTAACAGTAATAATCACAATGTAGCTTTGAAGTAAAAAATAGTTTCAGAAAATCATATGCAAACACTTCTCTGAAGCAGTGTTTACTTAATGAAGGCTACATGCCTTCTTATGTTATTTTAAATTGTGAATTATTTATAACTATTAATAATTTAAGTTTAACAGCAAATTAGATTTTTCATGGTGTTGTTGACAATAGTACGTTGCCATTGTTATTACTATGCTACTGTTACTTACTATACTATTACTCAATCATGTATTACACAGTCACTCACATCTGAAGAGTTGGAGATGAGCTCCCTGAGGAAGATCTCTTTGTTGGAATAGAAAGTGTTGATGATCAGAGACATCAGCTGAGCGATCTCAGCCTGAAAGGCAAAGGTCTCTGCCTCCTCCTCCATCAGCTGATCATGTGCCTCCGGCATCTGTGCATGACAAACAAAATATATATAACATATACACAATATTTGACGAGTATGCTGTTACATCAGAGCACATATCTGAGTTATTATACATGAAATGCATTAGTATTCAACATGCATTTGGCTGATTAATGTAGTATGCATCACTGTATAACCTTCCTAAACCAATTAAAGGCTCAAAGCATGGTTTAATTCAATTGCAAAAGGGTTTTGCATTAATGCTATTAATATATATAAAGCTGAAGAGATTGCTGGTGGTTCTGGAACAACTTGTACGAACTCTAGCGCCTCCTGTCGGTCCAAACGTGTCATTACGAGCTTCTAGAAACTACCAAACTGTCTAACATGCATTAACATGGAGCACATCACTTTGGATCTCACTCTGTATGTGAACGAGACGCTATAATGCAACTAATCCAGTCATTAAAAACACCAATGCATTCTGTTAAACTTATACTTAAGTCAATAATATGCATACATAAAAATCCCATATTTAAAATGCACTCATTAACATAAGCATGCATGTGTAATAATGACGTAAACTTTCCTCGAATGCGTTCATAAGCACTTTTATTGAATCTTGTAAAAACCTCGTTTAATCTCTCAGAGGTAAAACTGTTCAACTCCAGATGGTCTGAGGACTTCACGGCATTCATTTCAGAAATACGCCTATTTAAATATACTGACAGCAACTTAATGATGTAAAACACTTCATATTTGTTAAGATACAAGTTATAAATCGCCGTGTAAATGTGTAGTAGCATCACGACCGTTCAAAGAGCGTTGACGAATGAATGAAGCGCGAATAAACGTCGAATATCTTCACAGCGTTTGCGCGAAATGTCAACTAAGTTGAATGATAATGAATTGGGATGTTATTCTGATTCTATATTCTTACCTTGAATGGTTTATTAGAGTGAATTAGATTAAGCGATTCTCCGTTAAGCCTGTGAGGGTTTTCTCCTCAGCTGTCACGGAGCTTTGGGAGATCCTATCGCGTGCGTTACGTCAGTGGCGGGCTTTTATACGTTGCATAAACGCTCCAGAAATCTCTCGAATCTTCTCAATGCTTTCCTATGGGCGCAGGGGGAGGGGCTTGGCTGTCAATCATCCATTCAACCGTTAAAGTGGGCGTGGCCAATACTGGGAGATGAAGTTTCTAGATTGCTTGGGAAATCAGAAGTAATAAAGACTGACTCCAGATCATATTTATCATTAGTCATTTATTAAAAACGTTCAAGTCAGGTTTACAAAAAAAACAAAAAAACAGCTTATATTAGAAAAGCTCAGAAAATTCCATTTTCTGGTACAGTAACTATGCAAAAAAACATTAGGAGAAATTTAATTGGCTTGTTAACGTTCACTTTGGGATGTGGAGATTGTTTTTTTATTACAAAAACAATAAATACATTACAATTTAGTGCTATTTACACTAAAACTCTTTAGTCGACTTCCTCCATTCTAGAACTGTCATCGTCACCCTCCAGAACTGGCATATCTTCTTCAGCAGGTTGAGTAATGTCTTCTACAGCAGAGTCATCGTCATCAATGCCTGAAAGAGAAGAGATTAAATATAATTAAGTCATGTTCTCCAATGAAATTTCATTTTTGACTACACCCTTAAAAATAAAGGCCATAGAAGAACCATTTTTGGTTCCCCAAGAACCTTTCAATGAGCAGTTCTCAAAATAACCATTTTTGTATTAGTGTAAAGAACAATTTAATTATCTTAAGAACTTTTTTAAACTATAAAGAGCCTTCTGTGCAATGGAAAAGTTCCATGGATGTTTCCGGTTCTTCATGGAACCATCATGGAACCATCAAAGCCAATAATGACCCTTTATTTTTAAGAGTCTAATGTTGGACCAATATGTTTTAGTAGATGATTCTTAAAAGAACCATTTTTATTGGTGTCAAAAACATTTTAATAATCTAAATAACCTTTTTCCATTTATTAAAACCTTTAGTGCAATGGAAAGGTGATGTTAAAGGTTCTTCATGGAACCATCAAAGCCAACAATGACCGTTTATTTTTAAGAGTGTAGTGGTGGACCAACATGTTTTAGTGGATAATTCTTAAAAGAACCATATTAAATAAGTGCGAAGAAAAATTTAATCATCTTAAGAAACTTTTTTTCCATTAAAAATGGAAAGGTTCCATGGATGTTAAAGGTTCTTCATGGAACCATCAAAGCCAATAAAGAACCTTTATTTGGTGGACTGATATGTTTTAGTGGATAATTCTTAAAAGAACCATTTTAAACCATTTTTTAAAGGATATAGGTGCCAATAATGAACTTTAATTATTAAGAGTGTAATGGTGGACTGTTTTTTTTGATGGGCGTTACCAATTAATAATGCATTAATAACGGTGATATATTAGGCCTTTGTGTTTAAATGTATAATTTTTATTGTCATCCAACTTACCAAGACCAAGTTTGATCATCCTGTAGATGCGGTTAGCATGTGTTTGTGGGTCTTCCAGGGTGAATCCAGAGGAGAGCAGGGCGGTTTCGAACAGCAGGATGACCAAGTCTTTCACGGCCTTGTCGTTCTTGTCAGCTTCTGCTTTCTCTCTGAGCGTCTCGACGATGGGATGGACGGGGTTGATTTCTAGGTGCTTTTTAGCGGTCATGTAGCCCATGGTGGAGTTGTCCCTCAAGGCCTGAGACTTCATGATCCTCTCCATGTTGGCCGTCCATCCGTATGTGCTTGTGACGATGCAGCAAGGCGAAGCCACCAGACGGTTTGAGACGGTGACCTGTTTGGATACACTATCATTTAATGGCTCTGAAGAGTATTCACTTCAAAATCAAAGTCTAGTATGCTAACAGCTCATACCTTCTCAATCTTTTTGTCCAGAATGTCTTTCATGATCTTGCACAGGTTCTCAAACTTGGCCTTCTTCTCCTCCTGCTTCTTCTTCTCCTCCTCGTCCTCGGGCAGCTCCAGACCCTCTTTGGTCACCGATACCAGGTTTTTGCCATCGTATTCCTTCAGCTGCTGGACGCAGTATTCATCGATGGGCTCGATCATGTAGATCACCTCCAGACCGGCTTTGCACAGGCGCTCCACAAACGCAGAGTTGGCCACCTGATCTTTGGTCTCACCTTCGGAGAAGAAGAGCAAGGTTTGTAGGAAAATAATCTGTGTGTTAAAATAATGTTTAAATTCATTTTCCAACTACTAACCAGTAATGTAGTAGATGTGCTTCTGACTGTCCTTCATGCGAGACACATAGTCCTTGAGGGACACCATCTCGTCTCCAGAAGCCGATGTGTAATAGCGAAGCATCTCTGAGAGTTTCTTCCTGTTCTGAGAGTCTTCATGGATGCCCAGCTACAATTGGGAAAAGCCATTTTAGCTGGAAATATGATTAATATGATTTTCAATAACTACTCAAAAAGTGCACACACCTTGATGTTCTTGGAGAACTGCTCGTAGCATTTCTTGTAGTTGTCTTTGTCCTCGGAGAGTTCGGTGAAGAGCTCCAGACACTTCTTGACCAGGTTCTTGCGGATGACTTTCAGGATCTTGCTCTGCTGAAGCATCTCTCTGGAGATGTTGAGCGGCAGATCCTCAGAGTCCACAACACCCTTAATGAAATCTGGGAGGAAAGTTTAACTCGTTAACATCTAAACTCACGGGTCAAATCGATATCAGATGTATAATTTCTAGGAATTGTTCGCAAATTAACACCTGAGACACTTACTGAGATATTCTGGAATGAGCTCCTCGCAGTTGTCCATGATAAAGACCCTGCGCACGTACAACTTAATGTTGTTTCTCTTCTTCTTGTTCTCGAAAAGGTCAAAAGAGGCTCTTCTGGGTACAAACAATAGAGCGCGGAACTCCAATTGGCCCTCAACTGAGAAGTGCTGCAACAATAAGACGATTGGTGGTTTAAAAGCAAGAATATTGGTGGTTTAAAAGCAAAACAATTGGTGGTTTAACAACAAAATGATTGGTGGTTTAACAAAAAGAAAATTGGTGGTTTAAAAACAAGACGATTGGTGGTTTAAAAGCAAAACAATTGGTGGTTCAAAAGCAAGACGATTGGTGGTTTAAAAACAAAACGATTGGTGGTTTAAAAGCAAGACGATTGGTGGTTTAAAAACAAAACGATTGGTGGTTTAAAAAATAAGACGATTGGTGGTTTAAAAACAAAACGATTGGTGGTTTAAAAAATAAGACGATTGGTGGTTTAAAAACAGGATGATTGGTGGTTTAAAAACAAAACGATTGGTGGTTTAAAAGGGCCTGCAATTCCAAAGCAAATGCATATGTCAAGTTCCAGTACTTTTAGACTGAAAAAAACAATAAAACACTTATGAGGGCTCATACTGTAGTCTGTCTTCACTGTGAAGGAACCACCAGCTGCAGACTCCCAGATGTACTGCTCGTCATCGTTGTGTTTGGTGAGGACCGTGACTTTCTCGGCCACCAAGTAGGCAGAATAGAAACCCACTCCAAACTGACCGATCATAGAAATGTCCGCTCCGGCCTGCAGAGCCTCCATGAAGGCCTTGGTGCCGGATTTGGCAATGGTGCCCAGGTTGTTGATGAGGTCTGCTTTGGTCATGCCGATGCCGGTGTCGATGATTGTGAGCGTGCGCTCTTTCTGATCAGGGATGAGTTCAATCTTCAGGTCCTTGCATGAGTCGAGTTTGCTTGGGTCCGTCAAGCTCTCGTATCTGATCTTGTCCAATGCCTGTTTTGAAGATATGCATTGTGTTATTGTGAATTTTTGGAACAAATGCTGGAACATAAATGGAGAATGCACTGATTGACTTACATCTGAAGAGTTGGAGATGAGCTCCCTGAGGAAGATCTCTTTGTTAGAATAAAAGGTGTTGATGATCAGAGACATCAGCTGAGCGATCTCAGCCTGGAAGGCGAAGGGCTCTGCTTCTTCCTCCATCATCGGCCGTGCAGCGTTCTCAGGCATCTGCATAAAAGATATATAATCAGGATTATAAATAAGGATTCTGGAATATAAAGCATATATATATGTGTGACCCTGGAGCACAAAAGCAGTCTTAAGTCGCTGGGGTATATTTGTAGCAATAGCCAACAATACATTGTATGGGTCAAAATTATAAATTTCTATACATTACAAATTACACAAGTAAAGATCATATTCCATGAAGATATTTTGTAAATTTTCTTACTGTAAATATATTAAAACTTACATTTTTATTAATAATATGCATTGCTAAGAACTTCATTTGAACAACTTTAAAGATGATTTTCTCAATATTTAGATTTTTTTGCACCCTCAGATTCCAGATTTTCAAATAGTTGTATCTCAGCCATTGATTGTTCTATCATAACAAACCATACATCAATGGAAAGCTTATTTATTCTGCTTTCAGATGATGCATAAATCTCAATTTCGAAAAATTGACCCTTATGACTGGTTTTGTGCTCCAGGGTCACATATTTCATTTAATTAATTTAATTTAAATAGATTTCTGAGCATTGTCTGTCCTTTAGTAATTCTTACTAAATATATATGTTGGAATGACAACTGTTTTTTAAATAATTATTTTAACTTCTTTTATATTCCTCTGATACTACAAAATATTTTTATATAAATAGTTATGTGGTACAATATTCTACTTATGCTCTCATTACTTTCATCACTGCATTAAAAATCGCTCAAACTAGTACTAATTAAAGGTGCAGATTATTCACAACTAAAAAATTGAATTAAAAAATAAAATTAAAGAGAATTATATATTAACTTTGGTACTTTGTCAAAATCAGTGTTATTTTAGTATCATTGAGATACTATTATAGTTTTGAATTAGATTTAATTTTTTATATTTTTTATGCTTTTCGTGTGCTTTCATGTTTATTTTAGTTCAAGTTTTAGTAATTTTGTTGTTTTAAAATATTTCACACATTCATGATTTTTATTTCAGCTTCAGTTACTGTAGCACATCAAGTTAAACTAAATGAAAATGAGAAATGTTAAACCAGCTGAAATAAAATAAGTCAAATTTTTTACATTTTATTTTGTTATTATTTGGTAACAATTTTTTTTTTCATTTTATAGATTTAATTTTAATTTTAGTTAACTATAATAATCCTGTTCAAAATACAGATATATTTATTCTTACAAAAAATAAATGTTGGAATGACAACTTAGTGATATTTGAACAATTATAAATGCTCATTTATACATAATCTGCAAGGTCACAAATATTTCATACTAAAAATTATCTGTGGTTCAATGCTTTTATTACTTTCATCCTAAAATTCTTTGAATTAAAACGGTAGATTATTCTAAACTAAAAAGGTGAAGAAAAAAAAAGGGTTATATATTGTCAGTTTTTCAAAATACAAGCAAATAGCTTTTATCTCTGGCTAAAAGCTTTTAAACATTGAATGAATGATGATAAAGCAACAGCTGATCCACTGAATCAACAGCACATGTCCAGCACCTGTCACTACTCATTTAAAGGGGGAGGAGTGTCCCATGTCACAGAAGCAGAAGGCAAATGGTGCACCTAAAGTGTCCTTTATACCCCATTTTGGGGGGTTTTGCTAATGTAATATGACCTATTCTCATTTTTAGGATCATATTTTGAGTTACTCTGATTTAACAAATTGTCTGAAAAGCCACAGCTGTCTAGAGCCGGCATGCTTGCAGACATGTGCTCTCAGCTTCTATATGCAACCCATTGAATTTGCTTACATTTTTTTGGCTTTAATTTTGAATGTGAGGAAAAAGTTTGAAATGTTGTAAAATTGAGAAAACTCAAATAAATAAAGAGATTAAAAAAATAAAATAATTAAACACTACATTTACCATTAATGCCATTCAAATGATTCTATGTTCTGATACAATTTTAACATATATTTTTTAAATGCATTCCTAAATTAAAATTTTAAATTCTAAAAATTTAAAAAACTTATAAAAACTAAGGAATTTCATTCCTCTTACCTTGATGATTGTGCAAAAAGTCTTCTGGCGTATGGAGATCTACTCCACTGGAGTTTGCGTTGAGTTTGTTGAGCTGTGCTCTCTCGTGTTGACTTCTCGTCGCTGCTTTGGGTTTATCTGCTGAGCATCGGGCCTTCTTCAGCCTTTATATACTCGTGAGCAAAGTTTCTCGAAACCCCCGATTGAGAAAGTTCCAGAAGGAGTGTTCACTAGAGTAAGGAGGGGTGATAGAGAGCTAAAGTAAGACCGGCGGGCCGTGTGTGTGAGGCGAGTCCACCATATACCCCTTTTGTCCTTTTTGGGGCAGGGAGCCACAAGAGGTGTCTGTCAATCAAGGCCAGAGCGTTCTGGGCGTCACATGGGCCGCGGATCTCGAATGCTCATTGGCTGCAGAGATTGAAAAAATATCACAGGCTTTGAATTGAGGTGCCAGAACTCACACAAGCCACCTGTGAGATCCTGATGCATTCTAGTGCATTATTGCAGACCTTCCTTAACCTCCTTGTGTTGAAATGATGGCCCGGTTGTGTTGTGAGTCAATGACCCCCATTGGTTTCCATGCAACTTGGCAAAAAAATAACACTAGCCCTAAAATAAAAATTCTGTATTTGCTCAGTTGTTTCAAACCTGTGTGAGTTTCTTTCTTCTGTTGAGCACAAAAGGAGAATGTCCGTTGCTCAAAACCTCATTTTAATGCATCTAATTATATTTCCTTGAAGAAAACTGGTAATTTGCTGCGCCATATGATTGGAATGTGCTACAAAAGTTATTGAAACTAGAGACAAATATTCTGTGCATTAAAAAAATTACTAGTAAGTGCTCTGACCTCGACCTGTAAGTGTTTTAATTGATTCTATTCTTTTTCTTTTATGTGTTTTATGTATTGCAATATACGTTTGTATGTTTCTCAGGAGATATTAATTCTCCTGGCAGTCTGTTATTGAAAATAAGAACTTGTTCTTAATTAAGTTGCATGGTTAAATAAAGGTTGAATAAATAAATAAACCAAACAATTGACGGTAGCCATTGACTTCCATAGAATGGAAAAAAAAAATTTGAATGGAATTCAATGGCTACCAGCAGCTGTTTGGTTACCAACATTCTTTTTTTGAAAAAAAAAAAAAAAAGAATGAAAAAATGCTTTTAAAAAAAAAAGAAAAAGAAAAATTATGAACTCCTATTGTGTTAAAAAAAAATAGTTCCTCCCTATTAGGGGTCAGTTTGACCAATTACATTCAAAATTAGCTGCACTTACATTTTTGGATGCTTTTATTTATTTATTTATTTATTGGGTGATGACACTTTTGTAGCGACTATTCACTACTGATACAACAGTATTTGTACTTAGTGTAAAAAGCCTTTATCGCTATTTTTATTCGGTGTAACTAAATAGATGTAAATAGTTATAAAAATGAGATTCTCACCCTTACTGTCAGTGCTGAGAAAAAGTTCAGCTCTGAAAATAATTATAAGTGCATTATAAGTGTGGTATCTCACGCTTATGTTCAGTGCAGACTAACTGAGATCGGAAAAATAACAACCGGAAAAAAAAAAATCTGATCTTTTTGCTGATTTTTTCAGTTTGTTGATCTACTTGAGATTCACAGTCAAAAAAATCTGATTGGATTCACTGAATTGTCCGACTGTTCAGTTTTTATTATTAAGTATTATATTTCATATTGTAGTCTGACAAACAATAAAAGTTGTGTTTTTTTGTTTGTTTTTTTGGATGGTTGCATTGAAGCCAATGGGGATCAATATGACCAAACATCAAAGTAGTAACCAAAGTTTCCAAAACACATCTGAGTCGAAATATTGAACGGACATTCATCACCCTAAATGAAAAAAGACACAATTTCAGTAACCAGAAATAAGCAGATTAAAGCAGTTTGAACACAATTCTTCCACCAAGAAAAAAAGTTAATGTGATTATAACTAGTGTAACTGAAGGTGTTTACCAATCAGCGTGGTGCATTAATATAAAATGCACGTTCACAAGTATCAATTCATAAGCATATTAAACCGGTTTTAAAATCATGAAAACTCGCAGTATAAGCACTGTATAAATAAATTGACAAACCTCCTAAAAGTACTTTTAAAACTCTGAATGCTGTATTAATATGAATGATTTATTTTATATATACAGGTGTTTGACCAGTGTTTTGAATTTTGCACTTCATTGTATTGTGCTACGGTTAATAGAAGTGTCTGTAAACTACTGGATAATGTCTTGGCAGAAAATTACCAGCGCTTTCTTTTTTCTTCTTTTGTCACTGCATTAGCAAAATATCAAGACAAGCGTAATTTACTTTTCATACAACTTTCAAGCAAAACATTTAGGGTGAGTAAACTGTGACAGATTTTAATTTTTTTGGTGTACTGTCCCTTTAAGTAAACTGCAACGGTTAAAGTTAAAAATCTCCGTTTGTGTTCTACTGAAGAAACAAAGTCACCTACATCTTGGATGCCCTGGGGGTAAGCAGATAAACATCACATTTTCATTTTTGGGTGAACTATCCCTTTAAGATGGTCTTGTGAAACATGCACAGATGAATAATCTAATGCGTGACATTTACAAACAGTCACGTGACTTGTTTTGGGCTCAGTAGTATGTAGACGCGCTGATTTGAGTCTGGAACAGTCCAGTCTTTTTTTAGCTGCAGTTGTTTTCTGACCAGAGGAGGCACTGCACTGTTTTCCAGCACTTTCCCTGCTTACATAAGACAAGTACAGTGTGTTTCACAGGCGTTTCCAGAAGCACACACTCCGATAAACTCATCAGAGGTCCATCCTGGTTTATATTTGCCGATATTTCACTCTTATAATAAGCAGTTACTTCTTGCAGCAGCTAGTGCGCATTTAATCTGTTTAGAAGTGACGGACAAGTCACATTATTTATGTTACTTTTATACTCTCATTTAAATCATGCTTGAAATATAATAACAAGTATGAATGTACATACTTTGAAAGTTTTATAGTAAGGGCTCAAAAGCTAATATTTTTGTCAATTGCGATTAGTTTGCGTCTCCTCTCTTCACTTTTCCTCGACGCACATGGCACGTTGTGCGTCATGAATATTAATTACGTTACGTAACGTTCAACGTAGCTGCTTAACTATATGTATTAGACATTTATACTTTACAAAATCGCATTTATGAGATAAATCTGAAAGCAAGGACGAAGTATGTGACTGAAACTTATATCAGACGTTCGGACTTTTCCACACAGAAGTGGAAAAATATGCATAAATCGGGCATTTTTATCGATTTATTTTGACCAGAAGTGACGATAAAGGCACAATATAATATAATAATCTGGCCAAATATATATTTAAATGCTTTAATATA